CTAATTTTGCCTTTAATCACATCATTTTAACTCGGCTCTGTTTTATCCGTGCTGCCCGGTCAGTATGTTCTGGAATCACTTCAATACAAGGTAAGAAAGCCACTAACCGTCGAGCAAGCTCGACTAAAGTGAAAATGAAACCGGTTGCGAATTCCGTTTGCCCGTAGAGTGTAAGGCGGTTAAATAGCTGCTGCTGTTTCACCATATTTTCGTGCATATTTGATATATCATGTGTAACAATGCATCCTGCATCCGAAACTGCGATCGGTTGCCCGCGCCCGTTCCAATTGTATTCGAGGCAGAGCCTCTTCACGAATTGCCGGCACTTTCCTCGCCACCGAAAGTTGTGTCGACAACACGGAAGGACCTCCCTCGAAAACTGCAATGCGGCGTGCGACCAAACTCTCGCTCTCTCTCTCTCTCTCTCTCTATCTCTCTCTCCTCCATCGAGCTCTCTCACCCTCACACACCCACCTTCTCCCCTTCACCATTGTTCGACTCTTTCTCGTTGCATGGTTTGGTTACCTTATTATTCCTACGTTGTCTTTCGTGCCTTTTAAGTTGAGCTTCTGACTTTGTGTTATTTGTGTATATGTGTATATCTATATATCTATATATTGTACTAGCAATTTATCGTCGACTGATGATTCAGTGCCAAAGAGGCGCTATGGTGTCCTGTGTCATCGATGGAGAAACAACCGTACGTTTCGACGATGATGTTTCAGTATTTCATTCTTGCAGTTGCGTCTGCGCGAGAACAAGAAATTAGGAAATGTAGGGTTTTCGATAGCTAACTGCAGATTTCGAAGGTGTTTTCTTCAGGAAAATTATTCGGACGAGATCAGCGATATTTAGGAAATAGAAAGATAGAAATTGACCGTGCTGACACGATGCGATATTACGACATTGAATATCGTTATATTTAAATATGATTACCATATGTTTAAGCACGAGACTGCGAATGATGAGAAACGTGAATAAGCTCTGATTAGATATACCTCGTAATTAATAACCTGTATCGTTACTCACATTCATTATACCACAATTCAATAATTTTTTATACTTAGTTTCGATAAGAATGGGCTTGAGATGTTTCCATTTTAGAATACTATTGCCACAACTTCAAATTCATTTTTGTTTTCACCGATTTTATGATCATATGGAAAACAATGATTCTTTACCATCTAAGGCGCGTAGTCAGTGACGGAAAATTGCCATGGTTTAACACTTTGACTGTCAAGTAAATACTCATCGAAGGTCCTATGCAGTCAAAACAGATTTCTTAATAAAGCAGAAACTGAGAAGTCAAGAATATACAATAAAATTTGGTTTGTTCGATACGTTACCAAGTAAAATTAATGTTTAAGTTTATATAAAAAATGGCGTCACCGAAATTTGGGTGACGTGGCAGTTAAAGTGTTAACCCCTTGCCCTATGATTTATTCCTTAACTACGATCGATACAACTGCTTTATCGTTAATACTTTATTAGGAAAAGAAAAACGTCTGCTGTTTATTCTGTCTACGTTTACTCCAAATGGTAACGATTTATAATGGATAACTAATATTTTATTCCAATTCTACAAAAATGAATAACACTTAGATTTGTCAAATTCAGTTGAAAATTTTCGTCGCGAGTCTTACGCGATATTGTAGGTCAAGGGGTTAATGAAGGTAATGCAAAAGAACCGACTAAAATTGACAATGATTCTGTTTATTGGCATCGATGAAAAATAATCGAAGTAAAATTGACACGAGTATCGGGGTGGGGGGTCGCTAATCCTCCCAGAATCTGTTGGACTATCAGTGCACCATACTTACGAAAACGTTTAATACTCGTCAACTATAATCACCTCTTTAGCACTGAAACTAGGTCGACTAAATTCTACCACGAGTTGCAGAGTTTCATTCTGAGACATAGCCGGTACCGTACACGCACGGAATATCGATTGATCGAACGAAAAGACGGCGTCACGTCGAACGAATAAAGAGACGCTGGCTGCAAAACTTGAAATCGTTTCCAGTTCATCGGCCTGTTTGATCAAACTTCCGTTGGTACTCGACGTGACGGCGTGTTTTCGTTCCACAAGACTTTTACTTTGAATACACTGTAAAACGACTTGAGAACGAAGAGTAATACTATCGTAGATTGGACTTAGATTAGATGATAGCAGTTGCCTTGTTGTTAAAGTACGGAGCGACGACATTGGCATTTACAAGGCTAGACGTTTTAAATACTGCAGCCTGGTACTAAACAAGAATACGGAACAGCCAAGAATGAAAGAACAGTATTCGTTTGTCAAATGAAACAATGATTCCAAAATTGCTTGTTCATTCGGGCCGATCGTGATCAATTATGAAAGCAATTTTTCCTTCGTATATAATATTCTTCTTATATCTTAAACAACATCACATAGTCAAAGAGGATCAATTCATTCAATACGCAGTTTTCGTTATCCTTTAAATTTAATTTTTCTTCGATTTTCCTGCTAAAAATATGACTCAAGAATTCTGAAGTGCAACATAATAAACAACATCAAAGCTTAACCCTAAAGCGAACGAATGTTCTTTATGGTATACGAAAACCTTCAGTAAATAAAGCCAAATTATATGTCGAATGCTTAAATAATAGAGAGAAAGAAATTATATACTGATCTTTTGCTGTTTTGCTAATTAAATCATTTGTTTACAACTGGGTATGCCAAATATCAAAGTTTGATCTTGTCTAAATGTCGACATTCGTCCTCAAAGGGTTAAATATAAACGATTTATCAAGTCTTATTGAGAGTCAGAAGATACGAAAAAATAATGAAGAGGATATTGAACCGATAGGGTGAGCTACCAGGCCTTGTAAACGACTATTCGCTCGCCCATACTTTAACGTACGACCGAGCACAGTGGAAAACCAATCACACTAGTTCGTAATGTAGATGTATTTGCCAGATGATTAACGCTATTTTTTCCTAACAGCCGATCAGCTGTTGTTCGTGGCCGTGTTGTCACGCATCTCGGTACCGGTTTAATGGGGGTGCGCGTTAGCACCAGCACACCGTTGGAAGGTTTTACCCTGACAAGAGACGACGGCTGGTTCGACCTGCTGGTGAATGGCGGTGGTGCTGTTACCCTGCAATTTGGCAGGTCACCCTTCAAACCGCAAAGTCACATTGTCTTTGTACCATGGAATGAGGTAGAGTCATGCTTAATAATTTACCAACTATCAAGATGATAAGAGCCGGATTCGAACGGAAGTGTCTAAGTACTAAATCTCGAATCGAGTATTTTTAACCCTTTAGCACTCGAGAGGTGACTCTCAGTCACCACTTGATTTGATACAGCAAAACTATGAACTTGAATACTTAGTATTCTAAATGAAACTTTGTATTGCCACGTAAAATATTTCAATAAAATATCTTTGTTGCTTAATTTATCTGTGAATTATCATTAAATTAGTTTCAAACAATGTCGTCTATATCTCGTCGGAAAATATTGAATATTTGTAGTGAAAAACTTTCGAGTGCAAAGGGTTAATTGTACAATCGAGTAATTGGTCTTTTAAAATAAAAGGTGAATGGACCGATGTTTGTTCATTCGAATAATAAAACGAGTATACTTCTACTATATATTATTCTAACAAAATGTTGTTTTTCCGCGAATCTGAACTGTGGGTCTTCGCGTCTCTCTACTAATTTTTGTTGTAATTCGTGATAATATCATATATGATATCGTATCAAACTACGTTTAAATGAAGCAACTTGATACAAAATTTAGAGTGAAAACCCGTGAACGCTTCGGATTAAAATCGTAACGGACATAACAAAATATTTCTTCATTGAAGGTGGTGATTATTGACAAAATCGTAATGAGTACTGGCGAAGAGAAGCAACCGACGCACATCCCCTACGCCTGCGCCGCACACGATTATGATTTGATGAAACCAGTTGTACTGGCTACATGGAAGCACGGTTTCCAAGGAGCGTGTCCCGACAAGAGTGCCATTTTGGCAGAATCCCAAGTGATCCAAGAAAGCCTACAGATTCCTGGCACGGGATTGAATCTTGTTTACCACAGTTCCAGAGCTGCTGGTTATCTGTCCACGATACAGCTGCAACTGACCCCGGAAGATATACCGTCGACCCTCAATTTAATCCATTTAAGGATCACTATTGAGGGCATTCTATTCGAGAAAACATTCGAAGCAGATCCAGTGATAAAGTTCACTTACGCATGGAACAGACTAAACGTGTACAGGCAACGAGTTTACGGTGTTACCACTGCTATGGTGAAGGTGGGGTACGAGTACAGCGACTGCAAGGACATTATCTGGGACGTGCAAACGACCAAACTCAGCGGTCACGATATGTCCATCTCCGAAGTTGGCGGCTGGAATCTCGATATACATCATAGATACAACTTCCACGAAGGTATCTTGCAAAAGGGAGACGGCTCAAATATCTACTTGAAACAGAAACCCAGGGTCATTCTTACCACCATGGGAGATGGACATCAGCGACCTCTAGACTGTTACGACTGCGACGGGCAAGCTTCGAAACAACGCCTTCTTGCACCGGTTGCTCTTGCTACAGCACCTGATGGCTCCATCTTCGTAGGTGATTTTAACCTTGTGAGGAAGATCCTCGTCGACGGCACTGTTAGAACTGTTGTTAGACTGAAGTAAGTTTCTCGTACAACGGCTGGTTATTTCGTTTAACCCTTTGCACTTGGAAGTTTCCCACTAGAAATGTTTAACATTTTTTAACGAGGCGAAGACGATATTCCTTGAGACTAACTCAAAGGGAAATTACAAGTACATTGTGGAGCTGTTTTATTCGATTATTTCAGGTATCGAGGCATTATACAAAGTTCAGCATTAAATATCAGATTTTATTGTTTTACCGCGTCAAATCAAATGGTGACTGAAAGTCGCCTTCTGAGTGCAAAGGGTTAAAATATACTTTGCTATTCTATTAACTTCCAGAAATTCTCTATCACTGTTACGCATTTCATGTATTAATTGTGGAATTCTGCATTTCATTGAACTCTACATTATTCTTTTGCAGCGCAACGAGGGTTTCCTACCGTTATCATATTGCTCTGAGTCCATTAGACGGTTCGCTCTACATTTCCGACCCAGAGTCCCATCAGATTATACGAATCCGCGACACGAACGACTACACCGATCCTGACCATAACTGGGAAACGGTGGTTGGTTCCGGGGAGAGATGTCTTCCGGGTGATGAAGCTCATTGCGGCGATTTTGCGTTAGCTAGGGATGCTAAACTCGCGTATCCCAAAGGTGTCGCGGTCTCGGCTGACAACGTTCTGTACTTCGCTGACGGTACTAACATCAGAATGGTGGATCGAGACGGTATCATCACTACAGTGATCGGCAATCACATGCATAAATCGCATTGGAAACCTATCCCTTGTGAGGGTACCTTGAACGTGGAAGAGGTTCACCTACGTTGGCCCACAGAATTGGCGATCAATCCCCTTGACAACTCGTTGCATATGATCGACGATCATATGGTGCTTCAGCTGGCTCCGGATGGCCGAGTGAAGGTTGTCGCCGGACGCCCGCTTCACTGTGCTTCGCCATCTTCGTCCTTCGATACTGAACTCGCGACGCACGCTACCCTGGTCATGCCTCAAAGCATCGCTTTTGGACCGTCTGGGAACCTTTACATCGCGGAAAGCGATTCTCAGAGGATAAATAGAGTGAGGGTGATCGGCACTGACGGTAAAATTTCTCCATATGCTGGAGCAGAGTCAAAATGCAATTGTCTAGAACGTGGTTGCGATTGTTTCGAGGCTGATCATTTCCTGGCTTCTACCTCAAAATTCAATACTATATCAGCAGTAGCTGTTTCTCCTGACGGTGTAGTCCACATTGGTGACCAGGCGAATTATAGAATCCGATCAGTAACTGCTAGCATTCCTGATGCGAGTGGTGCCAGAGAATACGAGATCTATTCGCCAGACACTCAGGAAGTATACGTGTTCAACAGATTTGGACAGCACGTGGCTACCAAGAACATCTTGACCGGCGAGACTGTTTACCAGTTCACTTACAACGTGAATACTAGCAATGGCAAGCTTAGCACGGTGACAGACACTGCTGGAAACAAAGTGTTCCTGTTAAGAGATTACAGTAGCCAGGTGAACTCGATCGAGAATACGAAGGGACAAAAGTGTAGACTTAGGATGTCCAGGATGAAGATGCTTCACGAATTGAGCACACCCGATAATTATAACGTGACGTTCGATTATCATGGCCCGACTGGCTTGTTGAAGACTAAATTAGACAGTACTGGCAGGAGCTACGTGTATAATTACGATGAATTCGGTAGATTAACCAGCGCAGTCACCCCTACAGGGAAAGTGATCAGTCTGACCTTTGATCTCAGCCTAAAGGGAGCAGTGGTTAAGGTTGGCCAGAATAACAGGAAGCCTATATCGATGTTGATTAAAGGGTCTTCGGTGGTTACGAAAGTGGGAGAGGCTGAACAGAGGACCACGGTTTTGGCCGATGGTTCCGTCGGCCAGATGACACCATGGGCTCACATGATTAATACCGACACTATGCCATACACTGTTCTAGCTGAGATCGAGCCGCTGCTGGAAGAAAGTTATCCTGTACCGGCTAAACAGAGGACAGAAATTGCTGGCGATCTTGCAAACAGGTTTGAATGGCGATACTTCCTTCGAAAGCTTCCGGGCAATAAGTACAGAGGAAATTCGAAGTCAGTCGCGCAAGTTGGTAGAAAACTCCGTGTTAATGGGGACATTCTCCTATCTCTCGAGTATGATAGAGAGACCAACAGCGTCGGAGTTTTCTTAGAAGATGTGGAACTCTTGAATGTTACTTCCGACAGAACGGCGAGACCGATCAAATGGGGCCCAAGAAACGGTATGTTTGCTGCCGTAGAACTGGAGTACGATAGATTCAGTAGACTGATCAACTGGATTTGGGGAGACATTAGTGAAACCTACGGCTTCGACAGAGCTGGTCGATTGTACGAAATCAAATACAGCGACGGTACGTCGATGGTCTACGCGTTCAAGGACATGTTCAGCAGCCTTCCGTTGAAAGTGACGACACCGAGAGGCAGCGATTATCTGCTGCAGTATGATGAAGCTGGCGCGTTACAATCGTTGACCACTCCGAGAGGACACATCCACGCGTTCTCGCTGCAGACTTCCTTAGGATTCTACAAGTACCAATATTACTCGCCGATGAATAGACATCCGTATGAAATTCTGTATAACGATGATGGACAGATTCTGGCCAAGGTGTATCCACATCAGAGCGGCAAGGTTGCTTATGTTTATGATCACACTGGAAAATTGGAAACTACTCTTGCTGGTGAGTATTATCGTCGAATTATTATATATTATTGACCCTTTACATCAGTGTTTCCCAACGGAACAGGGGGGACAATTTGATTTTTAAGGAGGGCAATTTGAAATTTGAAATATCACTTTTTCAAATATTTCACAATATTTACGCACGTTAGCAAAATAAAAAATATTATAATATAATATTAAAAATTGTATATATGTTACATATGGGGCATAAGAATTTTAGAAAGGTTTAGGTGGGGCATTGCAAAAAAAAAGGTTGGGAAACACTGCTTCACATCATTATGTTTTCATTTATATTATTATTACGTTTACATATCATTTATGTTTGAAGTATATTCTAAAAAGTCGAATTGTCAGTCAGTTGTATTCTTACTCGTTTAAAATTCATTACTTTTTACAGTTGAAATTCTCCGTTTTATGTACGTGACATTTTTTAACGTGACATCAATTTATCTTCAGGACTGTCTTCGATCCACTATACGTACCAAGAAACAACCAGCCTGGTTCACAGCATTGATATCAATGAACCGAACTTCGAAATGCGGATCGAGTACAAATATCACGCTGGCATTGTTAAGGACGAGAAGATCAAGTTTGGCAGCAAGAGTGGTTTGGACAACGCTCGTTATCGTTATCAATACGACGGTAACGCTCGAATATCTGGTATCGAAGTGGACATCAATGGAAAACAGCTTCCTCAATCACGACTCAAATACAACCAAAATCTGGGAACATTGGAGGGTGTCGGTGATTTGAGGATCTACAGGAATTTGTTCAACCGATCAGTTATGCAAGACAGTAGCAAACAATTCTATACGGTGACAGACTACGACGGACATGGCAGGACAAAGACGGTGCTGATGAATATCCGAGCGCTGGATGTGTTCCGTATGGAACTCGAATACGACAATCGAAATCGTATCAAGATGCGGAAACTGACCATCGGAGATGACTCCAAGATAGAAAAGATAACGTACAACGCGGACGGCCATGTGCTAGAAGTGGCAGACACCGAAAACAACTGGCAGTATGCGTACGATGAAAACGGTAATGTGATCGGTGTGACGGAGCATAATGAGAAAATAGCGTTAGGGTACGACAGCGGTGATCGCGTTGTCCAATATGGCGATGTCGAGTTTAATTCTTACGATGCACGGGGCTTTGTTGTTATTCGTGGAGAACACAAGTACAGGTTTGTTTTATTTACTTCTTTTGAAGCGTAACATAGTGGCTGTCCGATGAATTCGAATAATAATCATTGTTTCATTATTTAGGTACAACTCACGCGGTCAACTGATCCATGCATCGGAGCACAAGAAGTTCCAGATATGGTACTTCTATGATGACCGCGGGCGGTTGGTGGCTTGGAACGACGACCGCGAGAACATTACGCAATTCTTCTACGCCAATCCAAAGACACCTGACCTGATCACGCACGTCCATTTCCCGAAATCGGCGAAAACATTCCGATTCCTGTATGATTCCCGCAATTTCTTGATAACAGTGGAGACGTCCGAGCAAAGGTTCTACGTCGCGACGGATCAGAACGGTTCACCGTTAGCATTATTCGACACTAACGGAAACTTGATCAAGGAAATGAGACGAACACCGTTCGGCAAGATCATCAAAGACACCAATCCTGACTTCTACCTACCCATCGATTTCCACGGTGGTTTGTTAGACCCCAACACTAAACTGGTCTACCTGAATAAAAGATTGTACGATCCCACGGTTGGCCAATGGATGACGCCAGCTTGGGAGCAAATGGCCAACGAACTGACCACCCCGACAGACATTTTCATCTATCGTTTCCGGAACAACGATCCGATCAATTTCAAACAGAATGTCGAATACATGACCGATCTTGGTAGCTGGTTGAAACTCTACGGCTACGATATCTCCGCTATGCTCGGCTCTGAGTACATGAAGAAGATGGTGTATCAACCGAGCGCTACAATCACGTCTCCACAGTTGACGCCAGACTTCGGAGTGATGTCCGGACTGCAGTGCATCGTGGACCGAGTGCACGAGAAGTTCTCCGATTTAGGCTTTGTTCCCAAACCGTTGCTGAAATTGGAGCCTAAAACAAGGAACCTCCTTCCTCGAGTAGCTCATCGTCGCGCCGTTTTCGGAGAAGGTATTCTGGTGTCCCGAGTCGGCGGCCGAGCGCTAGTGAGCGTTGTGGATGGCGTCAACAGCGTTGTCCAAGACGTAGTGACTTCTGTGTTCAATAATTCGTACTTCCTCCCGCTTCACTTCAGTGTTCACGACCAAGACGTGTTCTATTTCGTAAAGGACAACGCTTTGAAGATCCGCGACGACACCGAAGAGCTGCGTCGACTCGGTGGAATGTTCAACGTGTCTACGCACGAGACAACGGAACATGGAGCCGGCACCTGGAAGGAATTGAGACTTCATAATCCAGACGCTGCGGTGGTGATCAAATATGGAGCGGATCCTGAGCAAGAAAGACATAGAATATTAAAGCACGCTCACAAGAGAGCAGTAGAGAGGGCTTGGGAGATCGAGAAGCAGCTGGTAATGGCCGGCTTCCAAGGTAGGGGAGATTGGTCGAAGGAGGAGAAGGACGAACTGATCAGTCGGGGTACAGTGAACGGTTACGAAGGTGTAGACATTCACAGTGTCCATAGATATCCTCAGTTAGCCGACGATCCCGGTAACGTCGCGTTCACCAGGGACACGAAGAGGAAACGGCGGAAGAGCGGGAACAGGCGCAACAGGATTCACAGGCACGACTCGTGATTCGAGGATGTGACGCGAGATCGTAACGCTATTTGGGACTTGGTTCACGCGCCCACGTGAATTCACGCATCGGACAGACTTACCGAAAGAACAATGAAGAGAGACAAGACTAAACGTTCTTTACCTACAAATCGTGTACGATGGCCGATGGACCCAGCGTATACGGCGTTCACTAAATCCCGAAAACCGTTCTCTCTCTGTTTCTCTTCTCACCGCACTCGTGACCGAGAAAAGAGGAAGAAGGGAAGTGCGTCCGATCGAGTGCTGTTTTTCTTATTTTTCACGTACCAAAACCCCGCTCGGTGTGCCATAATAGCGTTGCTTGTGATTCAACTGTCTATAATCGTTTACCTTTTGACGGCACGATCGGAGGTGTCCGGCGTTGACGCGGCGCAGCGTCACACGGACGCGACGATGGCGCGTCAAAATTGAGCTAGTCACGTTAGTAACGAATCGAGAAAGTAATAAACGGGAAATCCTTGTTACGTGGCGATTAGTTTGTAAATCGATGAAAGAGAGGGGGATAGGACGCGAGGCTCGAGGGACAAACGTGGACTCAAGACGAGCGAGTCGTGTGCAAGAACT